CATACAGGGCTAAACATCTCGGTACGCCGGGATCGCTCCCCGAAGTTGCTTGCAACATCAGGGGACTGCTGAGCTTCTTCGGGGAGATATCATGGCTCGAATAAGCATATTATTCCTGCCCACACGCAAAATACGCGCTTAGACGTGGAGTTGCGGAAGGTTGCAGCTCGTGGTAAACTAAACTAAAAAACTAAACTATCAATAACCTTCGAACAACACTTATTTATTTATATCCTCAATAGCATGTAAACAAACTCCCGAGCTAATAGAAGCCAGTTATTTCAATATTATATTATAATTTTATAGACTCGACCCAGGCGAAGCCAGGGGAGTTGCTAGTTTTAATATAAAAAACACAAATAATAATAAATGGAATTTTTCGTCATATGTTTTCTGTTTTTTCTAGTTCAGTTATGAATTATAATAAAGATCACGTACTACTTTTACGTCATTTATGTACGTACGTGACTAATATAAAATCTTGAGTGCCATTTTCTTTAATCTTGGAACATTAGCCATCAGCAGAAACTTTTCTAACATCGAAATAAATCTTTAGTTCTTTATACATTAATGATTCAAAATAAAATATTATTTAATAAATCATGTAAGTATATACACACAAATAAAATTTAAATATCTGTCTGTAATATTAAGATGCTAATAAGACATAAATAACCATTATTAAAATGTTTGTCTGTCTGTCCGAGATGATCTTCAAAAGACTGAACTGAATGTAACGAAACTTCAGACAGATAGAGAGCAATGCCACCAAAAAGATAAATGTGATAAGATCAATATGGATTACTGCTTTATAATCATTGAAAGTCATTTTTTTACTTAGCACTGGTTCAGAAAAAAAACCTCTGTCCTGGAAAGAGCAAGAAAGAAACCCAACGGTACTTTTTTAAACATATTTCACTTTACAATAATTTATTTTGTACAGTTTTCAAATGAATTTTTATAGAAAGAGGTTATATTCATTTATGTATTTTTTAAATATTATTATAACACTGTTTGTATAATTTTTGAATAAACCACGTAAACATTGTTAATGACAAATTTAGTATTTTTTCTATGATTTTATTGTAAATGCATATACATTGCCTCATAAATGAATTAAAAATTCTGTGGAGTCTAGTAACTACAATTATAAGCGTATGTTTGTTCCTGGTGTTTAAAATATGAACATCACTATTCTTATGAAAGCTTGTTATGTTTTATGTACGTAAGAATACATTACATTTTCATAAATATATTGCAACGCCAAAGTTAATATGTTTATTTTTTTTTTAATTTCTCTGATTCTTCAGAATTTAAGTTATAAATCGCCCGTACGGCTCCCTTTTGCTCTATCAGTACCTTTCAGGGTTATTTTTAAAGAATAGCGAATTTTTAAATTCAAGTTCAAATATAAGTATACCGACCCTTCCGTATGTATGCGTGCGCGGTATAATCGGTTAAAATAATGCATTACCACGCTTTTTTGAATTTAAAAGATTAAAAGGACAGAATGATTGAGGTTACTTTTTAATTAATTTTTTCTTCACCATTTGCCCATATTACTTTTTCTAAATTATCTCTGTAAATTAAGCTAATTATTGCAAAATAACCCTGTATATTAAAACCGAATACCCTACCGTCTCTTTATCCTCCTTTCCCCATTTATGTTTTTGGTTAGTCGGATATATAGTCAGCTCATTGAAAGTCGCCATTGATATTGAAGCCGTATGTATCGTTTTGATTTCATTAAAGGTCTTCCAACAAATATATACTATGAAAGCCTTGACGTTTTTATTCTCCTTACGTTGAATCAGTTAACATATAGAAAAAAATAGTACCATTATTATTATTAATAAATATTTGTATATTTGCTAGCTGTGAGGCATTGCATCTTAGTCCTCAGATGTGACACCGCATCTGCAGCTTTCTTTGTTACAAATTGGCTGCTGGTGTTCATGAACTGCAATTGCTTGCTTATTACCGTCATATGGACTGTAAATGTAGATTATAATTTCGCTTGTACATTCAGTTTTATAAAAAAATATAAAAGATGGAACCACTTTTTTGCTCGTTGTTGTAATAGATATACAGTGACCTAGTTTTTTTTTTTTAGCAAGGGATGCAATGTTCCATACACTTAAAAGTGGAAGGTTTTTTTTGTTAACTTTGTTAGTACTACCAACTTTAAAGGATTTTTTTGATAAAAAGTATTTTTGTTCATTTAGATTGTAGATTTGCACGGAGAAATCTATTTTCCAGTAAATATATTACTATCATCATCATCTCCGTGCTTGACTTCTCACATCTATAACGCTGATTTAAATCATCAGCAATATCATCATTACAGCCCTTCACAAATCCACTGCTGAACATAAGTCCTTCCTTAAGTAAGTAAGTTAAGTTCCTTGGCGGAAGGAACGCCACAAAGTACGGTCCTGAGCCACCCATCCATCGACTTCTTGCTCTTGCATGTATTACCAGTTTGTCACTCCATCAAGCGGGGGGCCGCCCAACATTTCGTATACCGGTACGAGGCTGCCACTCGAGAACCTTTCATCCAAATTGTTGGTCGGTTCTTCGAGCTATATGGCCGGCCCATTGCTTCTTCAGTTTAAAGACAAAGTTTACTACTACTTTCTAATCGGCTAACTAGCTAATTAAAAAAAAAAACATAAAATCAAAATTGGTATATTTTGGATTTAAATTATATTCTTTTTTTCGTTTGTCCATGCAGTTTCCAATTAGTGCGCCCGCTTTGTATTCTGACGTGATGTTATTTCGGACTAAAATTTGTGTAACCTCGTCTACAGTGGTAATTAACCTTCTGTTTTGTTGATTTTACAAATAAATGCAAAGTGGTCTTTGGATTAGTCTTTTAAATGTCTATATTACTGTTCTATATTACTGTATTCATTTCGGGTTTATCAGTTTTTGTAATGAGAATTTGAGGTTGATACCTAAAAACGGTTTTATCTGACACATCGCACCTCCGCTCAAATAGTGTCGTAAGTCAAAAAAGCAAACTATCGAGAAAAAAGGCGTTCGAAATTTTTGTTTTCACTTTTCGGGTGTTAAATCGAAAACTAACAAAATTAGTGCTATAAGTTTTTCGGTAACTTTCAATGGTTTTTGATGCTCTATAAAATGCTGTATTAGGTATCCTGAAAGCATGAAAAATAAATTGAGTTGTGACACTATACGGATAATAAAAACGAATAATTTCCGAAATCTTGTTTAATTAAAACGAATTAACAATAATCAACAATACAAAAATTAAACAGAAAAGTACTTAAGTCTCATATTATCGTAGAGCACAAATCTTTAGTATCTTATATAATTATAATTAACATCAAAATAACTCACAAATTGTTATAAAAGTCAGCATAAAAACTAGGAATGTGATTGTTTTGTAGTAAAGTCATTAAATCAGTCTTTTTATTCTCCTTGATTTTAATTTTAGTTGTATAAGCTTGTTTTGTGTCAGGTATTATTAGTTTTTTATTTCGGGAGAGTAAATTAGCTTCTGACCATTCGGTGTCCGTGTAAGACGTTTTGTACTTTAAAATATTTGGTCTATTTTTGGCAATAGTCATCATTTTTATATCAGAGATCCTTATCTTATTTAGAGTCGTAATACCTATATCACTAGTTAAACTTTTTAAAGAAATAAAATCTTTATGGGAGAGCTCATTTACTCTCAGCGTCTCCCCAGTTTTTTAGCCTGTTTAATTATTTGTACATATTGACTGGGAACGTAAATTGGATCCGATTTCAACGAGCGTTTTATTTGCTTTTCTATCACCGAATGTACTGAGTCACCTTCATTCTGAGTGTGTCCAGGTATTAAAAATTTATGACTAATTGAATTAAGTTTATCGTATTTCATTACTGCAAACATGTACAACCCAACTATGTACTTATTTTTATTTTGCCCGCAACAGTTGTCTGAATAGAAAACTAAATCAATGGGCTCGTTACCTGTAAGACTGTGCAATTCTTTTTCGATAAATTTAAGCAAGCAGCTACCGATTTCGTCTGCACCTCGATTGCCTTCACCCTCATGCCAAAAATAGCACTCAGTAATACTGTGATTTACAATCAAATCACCATTATTACTGTTACTAGTTGTCGGTTGATTTCTTTTTCTTTCAGTGTTTTCTGCTGTCAACTTGCTAACTGTGAAATTCATGTTATTTAGTTTACTCTTATAGTAAAAAACAGAGACATTGCCACGCGGTACCTGCAAAACAGCCTGTAAGTCGTATACAGCCACAATCAGGTTTTTATTTATTTTAAGAGCTTCCTTGTCTTTCTTTTTTTCTTCCCTAGATAAATTCTTTTCTACTAGGTGTTCATCATATTTTTTCTTATGTTGTAATTTATCTTCCGGATTCGAATTTTCATAAGCTACACATAATTCACACCTGTCTTTCTTTGGTGCGAAGAAACCTAAATTAAATTCACCATTAAAAATGCGACTGTACATCACATAATTCCCATAATTCCGACCATTACGTTTACACTGGTCCACATAGTCCCTATGTAAGTCAGAAATAGTTTTTCCTCCATCAATGAATTCTCGTGTAGTTTGTGCCCTCAAATAATGGCTTTCAATCTTTGGTATTCCTTTTATATGATCCCTGATATCATTTTTAATAGCTTCACCTACAGTATAATGTTTATTATGTTTTCCTCTTTGATCTTCTTTCAAAAAACCATCAGTTGATTTCTCTGTTACAGTTTTGATCGTTCTGTCATTAATATCTAGCGTGTTTTTAAACATAGTTTTGCAGATCCTCTTCAATGAACCTTCAAGCTCGAAATAGAAAGCATAGTTGCTTTTCCGAGGTTTGTTTGATTTGACGTACCGGTACTTAACTTCTATAGGTCTTAAATGTTTATGTATAAATTGCCTCTATTTCTCTAAATCTTGCAAAGCCCAGTAAGAATCAAACAATTGGAGCCTTATTTCTTCAGTGAGAAAAGAACTGCATTTCAGTCTACAACGTTCGCCACAACCTTCTTTTAATAACTTTTTTAGGAACAATTCGCCCAGATTTTGTTTTATAAGGCAATCCTGAGTTTCGCAGAAATTTAGTCACATTTTGCTTCCATTGCCCTTCAGCACGCCGTTTCTTACGTGAAGTGGGCACAATTTCTTCTGTCACCTCATTTTGTCCTTGGGGGTTAGTTCTGTCTAAATTAGATTCTTGTGAAGTTGTTTGGCGGTCTTCGCGAATGTCTTCACTTGGCCTTACACTAGATAACAAAGATAGCGAGCTGGATGAGGATGAATTGGAACTGGACGAAGATGAACTTGAGCTGGACGATGAAGAACTTGATGATGATGATGATCGGCGATGCAGAACGACGTTATTTTTCTTACTCTTTTTACGAGCAGTGTAGTAATTGGGATCTTTAACAGAATCATCTGTTTCTTCACCCCCAGTGTAATCTTGCATAAGGTCTAAGTTTTCATTATTATATTCTACCGGCAAATTAGAAATATTTTCGGAAGTCTCGTTTAAATAATAATTTTGTTTATTTAAGCTGTCATACATTGCTTCTAAATTATTTTTTTGAGTAGGTTTTGGTATAAAAGTGGATTCATCCGTTTCTTGATTATGCTGCCCGTTGGGCTCCAGGCACAGGGATAGTATTTTACTTGATCTGGACATTGTGTTACAATTGCAACTACCTAAGGACAATAAAAACATTAATTTAATTAAAACAATATCTTATCGTATCAATACATTACAATAACATATATATTACATATCATAACAAGTAAGTCGTAAGTCTTAGATGAATAAAATAGACTTAAAATCTGTCTTAAGTGCCTAACACGTTTCGATACAAATTGAAAATATAAATAGTTGTTTGAATACCTTAATCAAGTACACTATCATAACTAGACAGCACACTATTAATAAAAAATAAAAAACAGATTGTTTACTAATCTTAATTACTTAATACTCTCATATTATATCAAAACATTGCACTTTATAACATTAAAAATTGTGGATTGTAAAATAACCTCAATCACACGTATTGTCATAACTCGACACAGATCAATTTGATCGCGAAATAAACTAGATTTTTGATTAGCCTTAATCACATATACTGCACTAACTCGAGACAGACCAGTTTTGTTGCGAAATAAATAAGATTTTTGACTTACCTTAACCACATACACTGTCATATATCGACACAGATCAGTTTTACTGCGAAAAAAGTAAGACATTTGCCTAGCCTTAATCACATATACTGTCTTATCTCGACACACAACACTTTATACGATATTTAGTTAAACGACCACCTGGCGCAAGCCGAGACGTGACACTGTTTATGTTTGGTATGACATAACTTTTACTGAACATTATAATGACACTAGTGCCATCTAGGGATAAATATTTAAGCCATAAGTACGACACTTTTCGAGATAAGACTTTGAAGTTTTCTGAAACGAATGGTGCAATAAAAGAGATTATTATTTTTTTGAGTTGTGACACTATTTGAGCGGAGGTGCGACATAAGCTTATAATTTGAGCCTCATATCATTTGGAAGAATGTCTCTCAATGTAAATTATCTTACGCTCTCGCCTTGTTCTTTGTAATTATAATACCAGGTTGTGTCGTGGCGGCGGAAGAGAGAATTCAACCTTTACTCTGTAGTCGTAAGGAGCTATGGGTAATACTAGAAAAATCTTATGGCTTATTATATATGGTGGCGAATTCAACATCAAATGTGAGCTGGATGTAAAATACCCAGGCCGTCGACGGAGCATAGCATCAAAGGTCCGAGACAGCATATTGATGATGTTAAATCCCACTTTCAAGTGGATAATTCTCAGCTGTGGACTGTTATAGGCTCAACAATAAAAAGAAGAAGACCTTTTGTAGGCCACAAGGCATTAATAGGTGTCAGGACTACTTTTCTGCCTAGCAGAACGTCTGAGTAGAATCCAGCCTCGTGCCTACTTCTGGCGTCAAACCGTAGTGTTTGCACTGCTGTATTTCATAATGAAATGTGTAAGATACAGAAAGCTAGTATAATGACAGTTTGTGAGGCATTCCATCGTCGTCTTCAAAGTTGCTTCTTGGTTAGTTCGTTTGTCAATTTATTTTTATAAATAAATCTGGCATTTACTATTTGTGAAGTTGGCAAAACCTTCGCACATTAATTTAATGAGATGGAGGTGACAGACTGCAGGGTGAACATGAAGCGTGGGGTTCATTTAAAGCATTGCGTTGTCTTCTCTGTCTGCTATTGCGGGTGAACTCCCGCTAGCGTGTGTGCATTACGAGACGCTCGTATGAAGCTTCTGTTTAGTTGTGTGTCTTTACTTAGTACTGTCAATGCGGGCATTGCGTTGTCTTCTCTGTCTGCTACTGCAGGTGAACACCCGCTAGCGTGTGTGCATTACGAGATAATCGTATGAAGCTTCTGTTTAGTTGTGTGTCTTTACTTAGTACTGTCAATGCGGGCATTGCGTTGTCTTCTCTGTCTGCTACTGCAGGTGAACTCCCGCTAGCGTGTGTGCATTACGAGACGCACGTATGAAGCTTCTGTTTAGTTGTGTATCTTTACTTAGTACTGTCAATGCGGGCATTGCGTTGTCTTCTCTGTCTGCTACTGCAGGTGAACTCCCGCTGGCGTGTGTGCATTACGAGATAATCGTATGAAGCTTCTGTTTAGTTGTGTATCTTTACTTAGTACTGTCAATGCGGGCATTGCGTTGTGTTCTCTGTCTGCTACTGCAGGTGAACTCCCGCTAGCGTGTGTGCATTACGAGATAATCATATGAAGCTTCTGTTTAGTTGTGTGTCTTTACTTAGTACTGTCAATGCGGGCATTGCGTTGTCTTCTCTGTCTGCTACTGCAGGTGAACTCCCGCTAGCGTGTGTGCATTACGAGACGCTCGTATGAAGCTTCTGTTTAGTTGTGTGTCTTTACTTAGTACTGTCAATGCGGGCATTGCGTTGTCTTCTCTGTCTGCTACTGCAGGTGAACTCCCGCTAGCGTGTGTGCATTACGAGATAATCGTATGAAGCTTCTGTTTAGTTGTGTGTCTTTACTTAGTACTGTCAATGCGGGCATTGCGTTGTCTTCTCTGTCTGCTACTGCAGGTGAACTCCCGCTAGCGCGTGTGCATTACGACACACTCGTATGAAGCTTCTGTTTATTTGCGTGTCTTTACTTTCGTTTTATAAAACCCGGGAATTGCTATTAGTAAAGTTCATAAACTACACATACACAAGCGTGGGGTTAAGTAAAGTGGCAGAGCCACGCTGCATCTACTCGTATATTATGGTTATAGCACGAATGGGTCGGCTCGACCGGGGTAGGACCACGCTTTAACAGATTACAGCGTAAAATATCAGCTTAAAGCTGCTGTGTCTCGTATGGTGAGTGTAGAGAACCGAAGACCCTTTATAATAGAAATAAGGAATTCCATCTTAGTCCTCAGGCGTGACAACGCATCTGCATTTTGATTCTTAATTGGGGATTATATAGATGTGTATGGATTACAGTCTTCACTTACCATCAGGTGGACTGTGTCCTCGTTTGTCACCCTTATTCTATAAAAAGTCCTATTGATAGTACTAGGTTGATAGGACACTTTGGATTCTGTTATGATAAACAAGTGTCAATAAATTAATAATTACATTAAATTATTATTAGCTGCTAAATATATTTAAAAGTTAAATTCCAAAGATATTTGCAATCGAAAATACAAAGTCTGAAATAACATTCATTTCTACCAACTTATTCGATTTGCGTTACACTTTAGAGTTCTCGGAAACGATTTAATTTTGATAGGCTATTAATTTTGAACGGGGTATCAATAGCCCTCGCACACCGTTGGGAAGTCGTATAACTTAAAACAGTTCAGGATTTAATTCAAATACAAATGTGCTAAGCGGATATCTTGGTATAACATAACCTATAAGTTACTTGTTATACAATATTTATGTATATTATTTAAACTACATAACTTTAATACACGCAATTTTATTTTAGATGAAATAAAAGTAAAGTTACACACTTCCCACAACTGGGCTATTGTCCTTCCTCGTTTCATATCTGAGAAGGTCTTAGAGCGACAAAATGTCCGCCGCGCTGCCAAATGCTTTACATGTCTTTGAAATATATTTTTTCTCAGCCGCACAGGTTTTCTCACGATATTCGCCTTCATCACCAAGCACCGGATAAATCAGCACTTAAAATTGCAATTAACATTTTCATTGGTGCCGGCGGGGATCGAATCCAGGTTGCTTGGGAACTGTGAAATTTACAGCGAGCGCTTAGGCGCTGAGCTGCGCGGATAATTACTGTTATCACGGAATATTTAATTGTACTTCTTAGTATTTTAGACGTATAAATTTAATTTTTGTACTATTACGTATGATGTATTTTTATATGACCATTAAAACATATTTACCAACATCAACATTGTTCAAAATTTTATTGTCAATTATTTCACCTGCCTTAATATTTTATCACAACACGCTTCATTGTTTTGTTATACATAATATTTGACCTTTGTTATCTAAGTTATAAGGTGGAAATAGTGTAGTTTTAATTAAATAAACGATATTTACGCACACTAGCTTGAGTCTACCAAGAAAAACGTACGCCACCGACCCGTTATTGAAATTAAATGCTTTATGTTTAATAAATTAAAATTAAACTTTCAAAAAACTAAAAACCATCTTCGAAAACTTAAAATAATAAATTAATTTTTGCATAATTTAATTCTTCGATAAATAATTAAACTATACACGACATATCTTAGCACCGACTTCAGAAGTTATTAAATTACGTGAAAATGATTTTATTACATACTTTTAGTTCATGGAAGTCGTTTTTTTTTCTTTCTTAACTTAATCTTTAAAGTAGGATGTTATTAACGTAAGGAAAAGTTATAAAGCTCATTTATTTTAAGACCAATATCGTAGATATATTTGGCGTTAAAGTTTGTCCAAATTTTCAACCCTGACTTTGAAACTAAACAATTTAAGCAAATGTTTGGTTAATCCAGGCCACAGTATTTGCCCCGCCTGCTATCATGTCATGAATTATCCGCTCTATTCCCGTTACGACTTTCGGAGCTTAGTGCAGTTGAGAATTCGTAATAAGTTCTGCCTCAAATTTTCTAAAAGTTGTTGAAATTTCTATTTGACTTGATGAAATCCGTAGACTCACGTAACGTGTAAACGTGAATATAGATTATTTTATTTTCTTTTTCCATTACAACCTATCAAAATCCACTTTCAAAATAGGCCTTTCCCAGAGACTGCCTCATAAGGAAATATTTACAATAGTTATTTTATTTTTTGTTGTAATATATAACCGTATTTTTTTTTCGCATTTATGAGGAAAACGCCGCTGCCCATCTCCTGGTTTGTTTCCTTCTAACGACAACAACGGGTCGTTTATATTTTTTTAATAAATTCAAACTTAAAAGATTAAGCAATTTATAGTTTGTTTTAAAAAGACACATTGAATGAAAATTACATTAGAAAATAAATTATTTACGAAATAATGATATAATAATGATATTCGTAAATAACGCTCCGTAAAAGCTTAGAAGAATAATTTCTTACACGCCACTCGGCCATTAGGATCAGGAAAAAACATGAATCTAGTCCATTAAGCGAGAACAGATCGTGA